ATATGTGGTGGAGACATGACAGCCTTTACTGGAGCTAAGCAGGCACAGAGGCCATAGTGTTTACAAGCTCAGGGGATGTGATCTTATGTTCAAGAGTTTCCACATCCTTTTATGATGCTAGATGTCTTAATAAGTGTATTTTCATTTCTCTTCTTCAGATAAAACTTATTCTGGATTACAATGGTGCCTATTACGAATTACAATTTAGCAATAGTATCTTAAATTTTTATCCAAGTTTATCAGGCTTGTTTTTGGTGGAAACTGTAGACAAAAGAAAAGAAAGAGCTAGTAAAAAATATATATATAATTAACAGGAAAGTTATCAAAATGTACAGGGAACTGAGAGAAATTGATGTGGGGAAGAAGATGCTGTACAAGAGAAACAGAAAAAAGAAGAATGAAAATAAGAAATAGAAAATGAAAGGTACCAATAAATAGAAAACATCTAAAGATATTGAATGTAAAAATAACATGGAGAGAAAGCAAAAAGATAAAAGGCAATAACACATTACGAAAGACAAAGAAAAGGAGACCATAGAAATATACATACACAAATAAGTAAAACTAAAATTTCTAAAAACCGCTAACTGGCTAATCTACATGAACAGACAAATTCCCTCAACCACAAGGCTAATTCAGAGAGAAATTTCCCTCCATCCCAAGTTTTCACATCACAACTATTCGAACAAATACAAAACTTCATACATTTTAAACACAATCAGTTAAAACAACATAAAATATATCAAGCCACATAAATTTCCTAAGATGGATAGTACAGTACCTAATATCAAAACTGATACGGTAAAATTTAGTCACAATTAAGTTTGCTCTGACCATTGAAGATACTGATCAATGTTATGAATAAGAACAAGAAAAGGGTTTAAATGTGACATGATAATGATTACACTCTGTCGTGCGAAACATGTATTTCTGATAAATACCAATCAAAAACTCTGCCAAAAGACCCAATACTGTGCGTAAATTTAATTATAACTCACTCCATACACACTGGGTAAGAACACCACTCATCTTTGACTGTCCCTTTGAACCACCATAAAATACCGACCTACGACCCTATGAAAGATAAATATGAATCCAATATCCATACCAGGAAGTTTAAGCATACAGTGTTCGCCTAAAAACATGTGGCTGTGGTTTAAAAATCCAGGTGCTGTGGAGTAACAAACGAGAGATTTTTCCCCCAAGCTGTCATCCCACCTCGAATCACGCCCTTTGGCACTCAAGACTTCTCCTGAAAAGGCTCTGTCTCCCGAGTCTCTCACGCCCTTTGCCACTCCAGACTTCTCCTGAAAAGGCACTGACTCCCGAGTCTCTCACGCCCTCTGGCACTCAAGACTTCTCCCGAAAAGGCACTGTCTCCCGAGTCTCTCACGCCCTTTGGCACTCAAGACTCCTCCTGAAAAGGCACTGTCTCCCGAGTCTCTCACGCCCTCTGGCACTCAAGACTTCTCCTGAAAGGGCACAGTCTCCTGAGTCTCTCAAAGGCTGTCATTCCTCTTTCCCTCAGGATCTTCCAAGACGTCTCTCGAGAGCAGACCGGGAAAAGTAAAAGAAAAAAAAACGAAATTCGCCGCCCTTACCTTTATTGGTAGACGTTTGGACAACAAGAGTCACTATATGTAGTAATTATAATCCCGGCCTGGCACACCACACGTCACAAAAACAAAAATTAACTTGACAAAGCCGCTCGCACCTTCACTCGACCGAGAACAACAAATGACTGCACTGAGAACCATAAACTCCGGAACCATCAGCGAGCAGCTTGACCAAAACAATCGAAATTAAACAAAAGACAATCGCCTTTGTGTTACTTATTGGTACTGGATTCTTTTAGTAACTATAAGTTCCACTGACGCTGATAGTGAGGTTCGATTCTTTTTGATTGTATAATGTAGAATAAAGGAAAAATGCATGAATGGCAGCTGTTATTAGTTTAAAAATCATATTATTGTATCATAATTTGCTAAACTGTAATAGCCGATGAGAAATTCTGTGAGAAGAGGGTAACAGTAATAATTTAATCTCTTGCTACTCTTAAGCTAAAAGATAACATATATTTTCAGTATATGGGGATTATATTTTTATTTCATAATTAGAAAAGAATATTTTTTGTTTGGAAAAGTAGAAATAGATGACAGTGATGTTGTTATTTATAGGAAAGATCTAGTTTATGACTTAAAAAAAAACAAAGACAATTTATTCCCGTGTATTGAAATTTATATTTGGAAATAATCTCTATCATGTTTTTTACAAAATATAAAATTCATTTTGAAATAAAGAAAAAAATAGTTGTAATTTCCTTTTCGAATGCAAAGATTTAGCGGCGGGAATTTTTTTTAAATCTAATGATTACCCTAAAGCACAAATATCTTAATTTAACTTTTTATTTTAGATCTCCGGCGTTTCTTACATACGAAGATTTTCGAAAAGTAACGTGTGTAGAAAGAAAGATCAGTAATAATACGCGATATAAATTAAC